TTCTGCTAAAGACTGTCCGAATAACACTATTCACTTAGGCGAAATAGTATCAGTCTTTAAAATTTTTTCTTCTCTAGGAATATCACTTGATCATGTTCATCTATAAAACACTCAAATTTTATATTTAATATAAATCATGATGCTAACTAACATCAATGAAAATGAAAAGACAGAATGAATGAAGCAAGGAGGAATTTGCTATGCTTCAGTCCATTTCTTGTTCAACAAAATTTTTCCATTAAAAGGAAGATGTTTCATGTTTTGGTTAAATCTTTGAACATCTTCTTATCTGACTGCCATCATCTGAGCAGAGACCTGACTTATTAAACTATATGTGAGTTAGTACAAGAGAAATATCTAGATTGGTTTATTTCTCTTGTTGTTAGTTAACGTCATGGAAATTACAAATGAGTAAGAAATCATGGAGAAAAACAAAAATCCATCAGTTATTCTTATTTAACTAATCTATAAAAAGGGAAGTGTGCTCAACCTACGTAATACGCATCTGCATTATACATATACTCACTAGGTGACTGAGGAATTGATAGTGGAAAGAACAGACAATAAAGATCAGACTTTATCCATGAATGTCATTTTGCTTTTTAAATGCATTACAACTGTAATCCATTTGAAATAGCTTCCAACTCTATGGAGGAGTAATGTGCTATAGCATTCGAACAGGTCTTATTATTTGCCTCTCAGGTATGATACACATACAGATTTTAGTTAAAAGCTCCCGAAGAACAGGTAAATACTTTATTAAATGCTAATTATATTTGAGAAACATAAGAAAGGAACACACCAACATGTGAAGTAATCATAACATTTACACATTTCTGTATCTATCAACTTGCTAAACACTGAGCAGTACACAATGCCACCTGACATTTAACCATTAATTGTTCTTGGTAATCAGTCAGGTCTCCTGCTAAGTTTTCAGAACAGCACTCCAGTGTGAGTGTGAGAGGAGTGTAGTTTGTCCACTGCTTCATGCAAGCTGCATTCCAAACTAATATCTTAGCTCAGCTTGTAAATTACTGAGATGGTAATTAAAATCTACAATCAGTTGTAGGCACCTTTTCCTCTACAAAGTAGTAGTAAATAAAAAATAAAAATGAACAAAAGGCATATATCAGAATATCCTGAAAACATAATATCAAATTTACAGGTTTATCTTTGCCTTTAGGTAACAGAATGTGAACACGTAACTTTCCTTTGATTCACACCTAGAGCTTACCTGCTAACTTGAATGTACTTATCACTCATGAGCACAATGGTTCAAAGAAAAAGTTTCTAATGAAGCTGAATAAATCTGTCCGGGTAATAAATACTTTATTACAATGGCCAAACTTTAGGTAATTAAAGTACCGCTAATGTCAGAGATATTCTCGCAGTCTGCTAATGGCAATTTTTCATGGTAATTTTACAAATTAGTTTTTCACAGTACCTGATGTATATTTCTTTCTTCAGAAAAACACTTGAAAGTTTCCTAATGTGAAAAAATTATTTCTTTAGTCAATATGACCACAAAAATTTGATGGGAATATAAAGTAAATAAGGTAAATTTTTACTGCAGAAGATTTTACCCTTGTAATGTTCCCTTCAAAATGTAGAAAATAGGCAGTCTGCTGTCTGCACCCGTTTTGAGAGAAGCAATCAAATAGGTGATATTATAAACTTAATTTGCTTCATCCCACTACCTTCAATCCCAACTTTTTTTTCTTTCTAAACATTATCAGACTGTCTTCTTAAGCAATCATCTTACACTTCCTTTTTAATTAAATCTCTAACATAAAGCAATTAGAAAGTGTAACAAGTAGTTTAGTCATAAAACTATTACATTACAATCAAATAGGATAAATATAAATAAAAAAGAAATAGAACTCAATATTATTGACAGTATCAAAAATTGCTTATTTCATTCATTAGAAACAAACTAATATATTTAAGGTAAATATTTTAAATATTTTTATTCTAGGTATATGAAAAAATAGATGGCATTCTGGAAGGAAAAACCTTAAGTCACAATTTCTTATTATTTGTTTTCAGGTAAATATAAAAATTCACTGTCTTCTTTTAAACATTTTTAGGAGAGTTCAAGCGTTCACTCTAATGACACTATTACCAACATTTAGACCAAGTTGCCAGTTATGTTTCCTCTAAATAGTATGATGTAAAAGACTTTGCTTACAAATAATTCCTTAGAACATAGTTTGCCTTTCACCTCCCACCTGAGAATTGTGTTTTTCATTAATCATAATCAGTTACAACAGGGATGCTTCAAAATAAAAATAAAATATTTCAACTTCTTTACTTTTTAGAATCAATGTTCAATTTGCTCTACTTCCTGAACATTTTTTTAACAGACATTGAAATTGTTACTACTTCTAAATTATTGAACAACTGCTTATTAGCCTGACAGTACTGACCATGTTCATTTAAAGGGCTGATAATACAGACATAACAAATCTAAATCCAAATTTTGATCCTGGTATTTAAGTGTTGAATATTCCTTAAAGTCCCAAATAGTCTACAGGTTGGAAAGAATAATAGAAGATAAAGAAGACTCTACCAATAAAATTAGAAAAAAGATCACATAAAACTTTCAAAATACATGAATCCCAAGCAGCTTATTTAAATTCTCTAGAGCAAAGTTCTCTATTTCATAAAGACATTTAGAAATCTTCTCTTCAGATTTCTGACTAAGTTTAAGTGAATAACTCATCTACAGCAGGTGAGCAAACAATAAAAATTAACACTCAATAGAAATGACCTACTTAGTCAATGAAAGTTGCAAATAGTTGAAAAGGCAAAAAAAGCTGACTACATATGATAGTATAATTATAGCATATATAACTCCTTTGGAGAATATAAATATTCAATATTGAGTCTGCATGATTTACTCTATGTGAGTGACTATAGATACACTCACCCGTACAAATTCAATGTAAACAAATAGTAATGATTTACTGAGATTTTTCTATGTATTACCAATTACAACCACAGGGCAAATTATTAAGAAATTTTATACGGTATGACATTTTTCAAAAGTATTTTAGCTACTAACATTTCCAAGTATGCTATCTATACTAACAACTCTATTGATTATCACTTGCTTATTTAATTAGCCAGTTAGAAAAGCATGTCTCTGGATGACAAAAAAATGAAATTCTCACAAGGAGGAAAAAAAAAATTGTAAGAGATTTGAGCATCAGAATAGGAAAGGGAAAAGTTTAGTTTAAAAAGAGATAACTGAAAAAATACAAATAAAGTTCACAGCAGGAAAGCTTGCCTGTATAGAGAAATAGGCTACAACCTGTTAATATGTAACTACCTTTTATAGGAACAGTCTGTTAGCAGGCTTACAAATCAGACTCGGAGTTTTATTTTCAAAAAGTATAGAGCAGAAGAATATTATCATTAAAGTGCTACTCTGCGCAGGCTAGAAAACTTACTGTAGTATATTAACAAACTGCTACATTAAGCAATAGTATGTTCCAATATAAATAACTTCGATATGTACATAGGAAATAGGCTATATTTGCAAACAAAAGCTAACTATTTTAAAGAGTTAATATATAGAACTTGAAAAAAATTAATTCTAAACTGTTAAGAAAGCTCAATCATTCCCTGGAATTATCTAGTCAGGATGCAACTTAATTAAAAAAAAAAGAAGAGGAAATAAAAGAAAGAGCACAGTATTAAAGTATATATGTTGGCTATTTTACTTTCTTCCCTGATCTGATGTTGACTTCTGTAATATGTGACCAAATTCAAGCATTATTTTATTCTCAATACCCTTCTTCTCTTCCATTGCTTCATTTCTAGAATGTTTTAATCTTTGTCCTTTCTTTTTTCGTCTTTTCATATCAAATTCAGTCGTTTGAGCGATGAACAGCTTGACTTAGCATATTTTTAACCAGCTGGTCTAGCACCTAGCTTGCATTGCATAGTCAGATACAACAAATGTTTATACAGAAGGTAGCTTTCATGAAAATGAAAAAAAGACTGGGTATCATGCATCCTGGCTTTTTTTAGCTTTTTTTTTTTTTTTGTAATTCACCATACAGAATACAAAGTTTGAATGCTTTTTAATGGCAAACAAAATTCTATTTATAGTTCCAAAAAATGAACTTATGCTGGGATAAGAACTCAAATTTAAAAATTGCAGTGTTTACTTATAGGAACACGAAGAGGGCTAAAATTCTTTCGAAGCCCTACTTTACTTGCAACAGCATCAAATGGAAGGAATTGCACATATTTCTCTAAATAGAAACTACTTAATTACAAATACACTTATTCCCATCATAGCAAAAAGGAGAAATACAGTAAATCAAAATTCAGTTTAAAACAGCTAGCACAAAAAGTGGCCACTAAAACTCGGAAAGGGATCATCCCCATTTCCCTTTTTTTTTTGACATTTCAAGTGTAATCTACTAATACATGGCTGTAATGTTAAATTTTCTTTTTGTAAAAAAATCTGCTCTCTTATATCAACAAAAGGTCATGTGCTTTACTGAGCAGCTTCCAAAGTTTTACAGAAGGATCAAATAGGAACTTATAGCCTCCGTTTTAACCATCGCTAAAAGCTTCTGTCACCCCAGAAATTAAGAGACAGAGATGTTGAAAGTGGTAACACTGCACAAAAGCATTTAAAAAGGTGTAGAAGGGGAGAAAAATATCAATGAAGGAAGAAAGTAAGAGAGTGAACGAGATAGAGAAAAGCAGTGAGTGGGGGAGAGAGAGATGCTTAATGTTCATTTAATTTCCTGTTAGAGGACGCAACCTAAAAACATTAGCAAAAATCTCAGAGACTTTGCATATCAGTTCAGTTTGGTCCGAGCAATCACAACAAAAATCAGCTAACAAGACTGCAGAAACACTAGCTAAAAGCTTTTCTAACAAACACATTTTAGGGGAGCATCTTCCAATTGATTCAGAGACTACTGTAAAATGGGAGAGTTGTACTTCAATATATTAAGGGGGAAAACTGTACTCACCTTTCAAACTCCTGAGGTAAATCAGGGTCAGTAAGCATGCTGGAAAAGCACAATTTCCCTTTGTCACAGCAGCCACCTATGATCGTCTCCAACTGAACCTGTCAAGTGAGTCCAAACCTTCTAAACCAATTGATTTTCTCTCTCTCTTCTCTTCTCTCTCTCTCTCTCTCAATCTCTCTCTCTCTCTCTCTCTCAATCTCTCTCTCTTCCCCCCCCTTCTCCCCCCTCCCTCTTCTAGGACTCCTTGACCAGTCTCTTAAAGGGGTAGCGCACTTCCAGCATCGGGGTCTGGCCGCTCCCCCCTCTGCGGAGCTGCACGCTCGGGCTGCAAGGCACTAGACAACCTCAGGGTGCCTGTCCTTTCCTTTTAATTCTCTCTTCTAGACATCACCGAATGTGAGAAGTCACCTCATTTAACACGTCTCCTATACTCTCTCTCTAAATAATAAAAGTCACACATACACATACACACACAAAACAGTATGATTTTTGAAATGCATTTGCTGCTGATTAAAAGAGAAATCTGTATACTAACAGAACCCCGATTAAACTGCATTTATTAACTAATAAAGCAAAAAAATTAAATGTTAGTAATAGCATTTTTACACAAAGAATTGTTATTCCTCTCACCCCTTTCCAGGCTCTCTCCGTGCACACACGGAAACACACACACCCACACACACACACACACACAACAATCAGGCATTGTTCTGAGGGAAGAAAAGCAACTTTGACAGATTGAAATATAGCAGAGGCCCCTTCAAGGAAACCTGTAAACAACTTGTCACTCACTCTGTCGGTCTCACTGTTAGCTCGTGCTTTCCACAAAGTGGTGCGAACGTCCTGGCAACCCAACCAAAGTTTCCTCAGCTCCAAACTCCATAAAACACGATGTGCGATGTGGAGGGGAATAGGTATCCACATGCCAAAATAACACACGCACGGGGGAACAAAAACCCAAACCAAACCGAAAAATGAAAACAAAAAGATGGTACTAACAAACTGTCCTGTTTGGGATTGCTGGGGAGGTCAGAGGTGGGAAGCGCTCCCCTGGCTGTGGATCTCTTTAATTTCCTCTGCCCAGGCAACCACAGATAACAAGGTGGACAAACTATGGCTTTACAGATCCTAAGCTGGCTGGCAAGGCACAGCCTCCACAGCAGTTCCAATTATCTAGATAAAAATCTGGCAGGCGAGGAAGGTAATCAGGTAATGTACCTTTGACATGAAATGACAGAGGCACATACACACAGAGAGAGAGACACTTACACAGACACGCATGCAGAGATGGTGGCTGCCCCGTGCACTGCAGCATCTGGTCAGGGAGTAAGCGTACACTCACCAACATGAGATAGTGTGCATTCTTCACACACACACACACACACACACACTCAGTCACTCACACACGCTCTCCACTCCTACTGGGAGGGTTCATTCTGCACAAAAGGCTACATTACAGAGCCCGCCCCAATAAGGGAAAGAGAGAAAAAAAAGCCTTCCATTGTTGAGAGGGCAGGTCAGTTGATTAGATTTTCTGTGGAGAATTCCACGAGGAAATTCCCTTCAAAGCCGAAGTGATTAACTGGGGGCTATTCTGGAAATGGAGCAGACAATGGCTCAATAGTCTGCACAGCCAATGTCCAGGCTGGCACTGAACTCACTTTAAAAAAAAAAAATAAAAGCCAGACTCCCTGTTCTTTTCCACACATTCCCCCCCAACCCCCTCCACTCCTTCCAACTTCCCCTCCCAATTCCTTTTATTTTGCAGCTGGACAACATTAAGGGCCTTTAAAACCACAAGGGTTGACCCCACGGCAGTTTGATTAGGTCCCACTTTTTTTTTTTCCTGGCGACAGGCAGACAGTAAGTTTACTTTTTAGACATACACAACGAGACACCATACACATATTCCAAATAGCAAAATCAATTATTAACCTTCTCATATTAATAAATTTATTCTTCATTCAAAGCTTATAAATTTTTTTACAAAGTTGATAATAACTTAATAATGAGATCCATCATTCACAGGGTATCCTAAAAATAAACTTAGGTATACTAAAAAATCAATGTGGAGTAAGATTTAAGCATGTCACTACGGAGTTAAGACACTAACAAAATACAGAATTATGACCCACCCTGAAAAAGCTGTTAACAAGGGATGTGGCAAAAATGACTTGATGCTGACATGATTTTCATTTTCAGCAGTTGGGGAAGGGGAAAGGATATTACTCACTATTCTTTCTTGTCATTAGCCTCAAATTATTTTTTATTACAACAACAACTCATCCTACATAGAAAAATGACAAAATTGTTGCATTTATTTTAAATATCTATTTTTTCAACCCTACAGGACCTGCAATCTAATACACTCTGATAAAGTAGAAAACAATAATTTTTTTCTATTGTTAACAGTGGTTATGGGAATCAGGGAATGGTAGCTGCATGGCTACACACACTTTAAAAAATAGTTTTAAAAAAATTTCCTAATTAGGGAATCTTGTTTCATCTTGTATCAATAGAGAAAAGCAAAGAAGGAGGGAGCGTAAGTTACAGGGGGCAATGGGAGCTGGAGTCAGGAAGAGGAGGAGGCAGCCAGGAGAGGATTCAGGGAGAACACAAGAAGGAGACATAGTGGCAGCATAAAGATAGAAACAAAGATAATGGCCATAAGGCAGGATGCTGAGATCCGTATGGTCACAGCTGCTGTCTTGCTACAGCTCCTACCTCTGGTTTTTTCTCTGAAACTCTAATCCAGAAGGTCACCAGAGCAGGTAAGAAAGAGAGAATGAGTGTCTGAGGCCAACAGTAAAGATGCTCAATCAGAATCTTCCTTGTCTTTGTTTTGTTTTTGTAGACACTTAATATATGTATATGTAAGTACACATATGCCAAATAAACACAAAGAACATACAGGAAATGTTAAATGGTTTGGAAGTTAGTTTAAGATCTCAACATATTTCTATAAACGTTTCTGTAGCCATTCAAAAACAAATTATTTCTTGCAGAATCATCCCTGTTAAACGAAATGAAATAGACTAGGAAATAGAAAATTTGCCAAATATAATAATGATCATTCTAATAATGATAATTTGAACTAATGGAGCTCCAAGCTCATAAGGAATTTTGTTCACATAGATTAGCTCATGGATCATATGCAGCACAGAAAAGAGTGGGTATGTATATCCCTAAGTTTCCCCATGTTTAAACTTGAGCAAAAGGAATTTAAAGTCATACAACTGGTTTGTGGTCCATTTGTTACTTGAAGCCAGAAATTATTTCACTTGTGACAACATAATATAGAATGAAATAACACTCCAGAATTTATAGCTGAATGAAACTCCCAAGATGGTACTCACTTTTTAAGTGATGTAAAAGGCTTTCAAATAATTGTTAATGAAATTAAATTTAATATAACCTCATTGGCACTAAGTTAGTACTATATTTGATGGTTGAATGGAATAAATATTTTTAAATGTGTTTCTCTATACCATAAAGGTTTTCTTTCATTCCAATTCTATATTGCAAATCAGCATGTCTGCAAGATTTTAGAATGTCAGCAAAAGAGAAGGCAGTTCCAAAATGTTCTCCTCAGATCCTGTCATTGGTAATTTTATTAAATGACTGAATTGATCCAATCAATGCAATGTTTAATAGTAAATTACTATTATAAATCTTCTTTTTATTTTACTTTAAATGTTAAAATGTTTATTAAATATGTGTTAATGACTAGCACACAGTATGTGTTAAATAAATCTATACTCTATATCAATTACCTGAAGTTTAAGATATTCAAGTGGTTATATATCTGGTATTCTCTACATCAGAACTAACATCCCAATGCAATTTTGCTATACTATATTAGTAGGTCTCTAGAAGATTTCATAATATATGTAGATTAAGACACACTTTAGCATCCACTGAACATCTATTAAATGCTTACCAATATGTTAAGTACCATGGCTTTAAAAGAAAAATTCAAGAAAAATTTGTAACAAATCTAATTAAACAATATATATATAACCAACATTCAAATTAATTGTTTCATATCCAAGACCTCTAAGGTAAACACGGCAAGAAAAGTTAAAACCAAAATAAATAAGCAAATGAGCAAAAAGGCAATGACAAGAACTTAACTGAACAATAATTAAGTTGGTGGGAAATAGAAAAATGATCTACAAACACAGATACACAAATATAAATACATCTTCAGAGAAGACCAGCTTTCTCAAACTACAACAGAAACCCCCAGAAACAATGTTTCATTTAGTGAGTCTCTTTGACATTCCTACAGCAGTATTATGGAAAATGGAATGAACCTGAAAAAGTGTGCTTGTGAGCTCATGTTGTTTCCATTGCAAATATAAAAAGGAGACTCACACAGGCTAAGGAAATATAAGATATGCTAGTGAACACTGCTGGGAAATTCTCAAAGAGAATATCAGGAACTTTTACGATCATAAACAAATTATTTCCAAATTTAACCCCTTTTGGGCATTGTTTCAAGCAAATATTTCTAATATTTCTCTTCTGATTTTAAAAAGAAGTCTTTTCATTCTCTTATTTTAAGATAGAATTGTTAAATATCCTCTATTTTAATAACTGAAGTTGAAATATGTAGTCATAGGTACAGATTACACTTCGACATTTGATATATCTTCCTACTTCAAGCTACAGATTTCACATTTTATGGAATTTGGAAGTTTTAGTTTTGAGAAATAAAACTTTTAGTATTATAACCACAATGAATTTAAAGCAAATCGGTGTCAGACGATACCAACATTATACTGACTTAACCTGACACAAGAGGCATTAAGAAATGTTTTCTTTCAGCTATTGTTCCCCCCCGCCCCCGCACTGTTATTTACTTTGTCACAAAAACATTAAAAAAGAAGCCTCCCTCTTTCAAAACAAAGAACTTCCAACCAATGTACATCTGTGAGCCATTCACCAAATACCTGGTAAGCTCACCACTGACCTATCTCGTGCAGCTTAAAACAGAGTAGACAAGAGTCTTTTAATTGAACCTCTTCAGAAAAACACCTAAGAAATTCAACAGCCTAACTTCCTTTTTAAAGACCTAAAATTCAATTCCCCATAACACATTTATGCCAGGGAACTGGCATATAATAGCCTATAAGTTCAAGGTTTTTCTACCCTCATACTGTCTGCATTGTCAGTTGGTTAGCTACAATATACATATGAATA